CTATACATTTTGCATACTTAGGAGGGATAGGGGTAGCTCAGTGGTTTGAGCATTGGCCTGCTAAACCCAGGGTTGTGAGTTTAATACTTGAGGGGGCCACTTAGGGATCTGGGGCAAAATCAGTACTTGGTCCTGCTAGTGAAGGCAGGGGGCTGGACTTGATGACCTTTCAGGGTCCCTTCCAGTTCTATGAGATAGGTATATCTCCATATATATTAGGAATCACTGAATGTTTTCAGTGTATGTACTGAAAACATGTGAATGCATCTGACTCTACACAGAGCCTCTCCAACATGGTTACTTTAAGGCCAATTACCTGGTGAAACAATTCAAAGCAGACTTCGTTTGGCAGAGACAATTAGAACAAATACCAAAATACTTTTCATGGGGTTGCAATCTCTGAGTTATTTCTAATCTGGACCTTTTCAGTGGACATTGTTTTCTTTTTTAAAAGCACCACAGTTCAACAACCACAGTGTTTCTATCAGCAATAAGTATAGAAAGCATAGCCTGGTGTATGTCAGGAATAGACTGTTTCTCCATGTCTTTCAATAGCCATGTGGCAACAGTAATTGTTCACCTAATATGGTGGTAATAGAAAAATGGGCATGCATATTTAACACGTATTGTCATTTTTGAAAAAAAGTTTGTTGTGACGAGTTGGTGGCTCTTCTTTGCTTCTGTGACCATCCCAGCACGAGGTGACCGCCACCATCTGCTTCACAGATCATTTTGGATATTGCTAAAATAAACATTGCAAAGAATTTGAATGCTGCATTAGGCCTTTCATTTAAAAGGAAAAAGAAAAAGTAAACTCTAATTTTTTTGTTTCTGGTGCTTAGTCCCACACAAGTGCTTTGGAAATAGCTCTCTCATGCATTGTCCTACCTATCAAATATAAGGGACGATTAACAACAAGAGGTTAACAATCCCATTGCAAAACAGAATACTGAGAAGAAAGTAGCTTCTAAAAAAAGCTATCATTTCTCTTTGGAAATCTGTAGCAAAACTAGTTTCTTGACAGGAATCTCTGGTGCATCCTAACTTACACCATTCCTCTCCTTCAATCTTCCAAAATGAGGAGAAAATAGTCACATCTGCATCCCACGGTTGGACAGAGAATCAGAGGAAAGGCTCAGAAATGTGAGCCTTTACCATCAAATAATGTTTTCGTCTAAAAGGAAAAAAGGTAGTGTTGATTGGTAATGGGATAGACTTTCACCCTTAAGAGGCAACTACTAAGCCAATTTAGCTCAGTAATGAACAGTAGGTTACCATCTAAGAGCAATTTTGTGGCCTATGTGAAATTTTTTTGGTGGTTTTAATCCTGTTCTCAGTAGACAATCCCCATTTTACCAATATTGACACAAATGTTCTCATGACAGTCTCAGAGAGCTCGGCCGAAGATGACATGGGCTTGAAGAAAAGACTTTTACCCGACAAGGCAGTTAGTCTAGTTTAAAGAAGGAGTGTATTGGTAGGGCATACACTACAATTTTCAGTGCTTCATCTGACCTGCTGCTAAAGAGCCCCAATCTCTTTAGGGTTCATGCTCGAGGCCCATTAATCTGGGGCTTTTCGGAAGTGCTAATGTCACTTGTAAACAACATTTTTGTTATGGATTGAGCGAAATCACCACCTTTCATTTAAGATAGTTGTAAGAAGCCAGAGCTGGTCAAATCCTGTGCACTGAATGGGGTCTTAGAGGGAAAAAAATAGTTATGTGATCATGTAATTAAAGACTGTAGCACAATACATATGCACAAGAGGTCCAAATAAATGTTCACAAGCAACCTTAACAGGCATTTCCTAACTCCAGTACTCACCACACACTCCAGCCAGGAGTTCTCTCTCTCAAATCAGTGGATCACAGTGTCTTTGCCCAATTAGTCCCTGTTCTGCCCCCAAAATCCAGCTCGTCAGACTGGTTTCCCCCCACCTGCTCATCTCCCCTCTCAGTAGTTCCCAGTCCTCCCATTCCCTAGCTCCCAGTTGTGGTCTACTTGCCTAGCCACTCTCAAGTCTCTCCCTCTACCACCTCCATGCCCAAATCTACTCTTTCCCCTCTGCATTTGAGTCAAGATCCTTTCTCCCACACACTGCCTAATGGGGGAAGGGTGGGGCTTCAGAGCACAGGACAGACCAGGAAGCACCTCACCAAAATGGCTATTTTCTTTAAAAACAAACAAACAAAAAAACACCGTAAAACAACATTTTCTGCTACTCTTGTTCTCTGAGAGAGCTGAACTGTTTTGGCTGAAACTTTCCCCAGAAAATCAGCCTGCTAGAGAAAATTTCAACCTCAATGGTTAAAGTCTAGCAAAGTTAAAAGGAACTGGAAACAAGGTCTTACAATGGAAAGAAATGGCCAACCTTAAGAATAGGTGGCACTGTTCACTGCATAGCACAACAGACCGTGCTATGTGGATCTCCTACTGGTTCTTAATATGTACATTGTAAGCAACTGGCTAGACATTAATTCTATTTATCTGGTTTTGTTGCAGAAGCAGAACTGCTCAGCCAACATGCAGCTAGCATAGGTGCATGGGGGAGGAATAGCTCAGTGGTTTGAGCATTAGCCTGCTAAACCCAGGATTGGGAATTCAATCCTTGACGGGGCCACTTAGGGATCTGGGGCAAAATCAGTACTTGGCCCTGCTACTGAAGGCAGGGGGCTGGACTCTATGACCTTTCAGGGTCCCTTCCAGTTCTATGAGACAGGTATATCTCCATATATTATATTAATGTCCCATAAATTACAACTGATTTCAGTGGTGCTTCCTATAAAACACCGGGGGAACTAATGTCAAGCATTCACAGATGTATCTGCAGCATGGATATAGATGGATGTAAGCATAGTTAATATGCAGAAGTATTTTGTACAACAAGAATGTTACTTTATGCCTACAAATCTAATTATCAAACATTTTAAAATGAAGCAATACAATGCATCGTCCAAGAAAGTTTTTATTTCTGAATTTGTTGGCCAGTAACATTAACTGTTTTGAAAAGGAAAAATAAAGACATTTTTCCAGAGAGCTCTTTTAAAGTATTAGTTTGCTATGTTTCTAGATACTCAAGCATGAAAAAAACAAACATTGTTTGGATTGCTTCACCATATGGTTAAATCTGTGGCTTGGAATAGTAGGGAATATTAGGAACTAGATGAGGTGGGGTTGTACATGAATATCATTGTTATATCAAACATCTTTTTAAAAAAAAAAGTTTGGAATTCTGCAAATACAACAAACTAAATGTGAATCTAATATAAGGAGACATGCAGTAGTTGTTTTATCAAACAATTCTTTGGGATGCATAATTTACATGTGACAGAGGCCACAGTAGGGTTTTTCTTTGTTTCTAAAAATCTTCTGGAAAAGGAAACCTGTAACCACATAACTTTGAAACTGCTTTTTGGAACTCAAATTTAAAGATAGGACCAAATCTTGAGGACCAGAGACAAAACACTCACAGCACAGGTCAAGGCATGTGAAATGGTCACAAAGTTCACCTTTGTAATCTTCTGATCTTGGATTGCTGCATACCGAACCAACTGCTTGGCAGGGCGCCGGGGGGGAGGGCGGCCGGAGCCCTGGGAGGAGGGTGGTGAGCCCCGGCGGGGGCTCGGCTCTCCCCCCCCCCCCCGGCGGCCAGAGCGCCGGGGGCAGGGCGCCGGGGGGGAGGGCGGCCGGAGCCCTGGGGGGAGGGCGGCGAGCCCCGGCTGGGGCTCGGCTATCCCCCCCGGCGGCCAGAGCGCAGGGCGGCGAGCCCTGCTGTGGCCCCGCTCTCCCCGGGGGCCGGAGCGCTGCGCCGCCCCCCTCCAGGTGCCGCCCCAAGCACCAGCTTGGGTGCCTGGTGCCTGGAGCCGGCCCTGCTTGGCATAGGTTAGAGCAAACAGCAGCCAAATATGTGACCCATTCTCAACTGCTCAGTCTTACTTAGATTCATTTTTCTAGCTACAAAATAGAAATATAAGCATTCAGAATTGCATGATCGATATAGCCAAGCTGATGCTATCACCTGCTTGTATAACATTTAACGGGTGTCAAATAGTCACTTCTCTGAGACATAGGGCAATTTGCATTCTATGTAACTTTCATTTGTAGTAACTGAAAGGTATTTTTCTAACAAGAATTCAGTGACTTCTGTACATCTTCCAGTTTGTTTTAGTGCCACCTTGCTCATTTAGATTATACAGCTTAGCTTTTCAAAATGCCAATAGTGATGGTGACAACTCTTAGATGCTGGCAAAAATTTTAATGTCACTAAGTATAAATATGCCTTTCAGGCACGCTATCAAAATAAGTTACTAGATAGTTTTTTAAAGACTAAAGCTTGCAGAAATATGGAATAAACCCAAAATGCAAGCATTAATATGCAGCAGTTCATTTAATTACAGTAGCTTTTCTTACCCTTTAGAACACCGGCACTTACAAGGCTGCTCAAACAGTTAAATGAATGGCTAGATTACATAAAATCTTCAGTTTAGAAAGGGTTGATGTACTAAACAGCTCATTAACAAATACTCATCATTAGAATTCCTTTGTGGCACAGTATTGAAAATATTTTGAGAACTTTACCGTCTAAAAATGCACATGTACAGTTTATACACATACTGGTTTGAGTTCACAACACCCAACTTTGTGTATTCTAATCAGATAGTTAGATACAAAGCTACATGATTTGCAATGATGATGACCCTTAATTGTAGAAATAGTTTCTTTTTAAATTTGATAAGACCTGCATCCATTATTACTGTATACTTGTATAAGAAGTGTTTTAAAAAGTATTAAAATTGCAGATGTAATTTAAACCAGAAGTAGTATGATTAGTGTACATAAATGTGTTGGCCATGAAATACACATTAATTTATTAATTCATTTAATAGTGAAGTGAATGCATTTGTTACCATATTCTATGATGATGTGGATTTTTTATTCCTACCAGAGTTGGTCTTCCTGTTCTAGGAATGTCTTTTTAAGCACACAGAAAGAGCCCTCTCAAACTGATATATATTTATTAACTTTGTTTTCAATTGCATGGCTTAAAAATAACCACTTTGAAATCCAATATACAATGCACGTGAATGACCTTTGCAGAATTTATAACCTCAATAATCAAAATACAGGTCTTCAATTCCAGAATTACATTTTGTTAAACTGTACACCATGGTCCACTAACAGGAAAAAAAAAAGGAAAGGCTTGCCAAAAGTATGGCCCATCCAATACACGCAAGAGAGAGATAGAGGGGTTAGAATATGTTTTTCATCTTTTTTGCTGCTCAAAGTTCATTAAGCCATTGGCTTGACAGCAAGATATTCTTGACATTCTTCAGTTGCTACTGTGCGAACAGAATGCTGAAGGCCATCACTATACAGCACACAGCTACATATGGACTCTTCCGTTCACCTGGTGGAAAGAATTAAAATGAATTACTGACCAGATGTCACCACATGAGCAGGCAGACATATCTAACTGGTTCTGGCTCAATATAATCTAATGTATGATATAATAATTACAATCCTGTTTAAATTAGTAAACTAGAAGATTATATTCAGTAGTTACTCTTGAAAGTATTGTAAAAATGTGAATGCGGCTATTTTAGGATGATGAAGGAAGGTGCAAGAGAGGGTGGAGAAGGGGAAAATTGTAAGTGAAAGATATAGAGGCAGATTTTCTGTTGCATCCAAGGTGCACTTGGCAAAACAGGGAGGAGAGAGGAGGGCATCAAGAAATTATGGTTCCCCGAATCTCTGCCTAGCTCTGTCTCAGCACAGTTTAGCTTAAACAGCTCCCCGGCTGCTCTATATCCATTGAGAACAGATGTAGCTCATCAGTGCTTGGCCATGCTCCCTCCCATTACACCCTCTACACCAGCGTTTCTCAACCTTTGGGTCGGGGCCCAAAAATTAGGTCGCCAAAACGTTTCAAAGGGCCCTGTGGCAGCTCCTATCCCACAGGGCTGGCTGGACTCACCTCCCTCCTCCAGGCACTGCAATCTCTGGTGTTCCAGCACCACTCAGGTTTGGCCCAGTCATCATGATGCCAGGAATCTGGGTAGGCCAAATTTGAGTGAGTGGCACTGCAACCCCGTGAGTCAGGTCACAACTCCACTCTCACAGATTTGGTCCGGTCAGGGCCAAAACTGAGCGCTGCGGCAACACTAGAGGCTGCAACGCCCACAGCAGAGAGCCAAGCCCAGCCAGCCCCATAGCACAAGTACTGCAGGAGCTGCCCCTGTGGGGTGAATGCCAGGCAGGACTCAACCCCTCTCCCCCCACCCCTTTCAGGATCTGACTGAAACCACCCCCAGGGTATGCTGTAACCAGAGCAAGGCAAGTGCAGCAAGGCAGCAACGCCAGGCGGTGTGGGACAGTGGGGTTTGGGGAGGGAGCACCACCTACACCCCCTGACTCACCTCAGCAGGCTGCTGAGTCTGTTTGGGTTGGGGGGCTGCAACCAAAAAATCTGGAGGAGCATGTGACCCCAGGTGCCTCCCCCTCCCATGCATCCCCTCTGGTAGGGGGCGCAAATATGCTTGCTTGCTCCAGGTGCCAAAATGCCTAGTTATGCCTCTGCCCCAGGGCCTCCACCTGCAGACTAATTACGGAGTTGCGACAGGCCATAAATATTTACAAATGGGTCGTGAGCCAAGGTTGGGAACTGTTCTACACCCAGCCTAGGAGTGGTGTAGGAGCCAGCTCTCAGAGGAAGTTTGCAGCTAACTTGATATACCCAGATTCTAGCTCCTTTGTACTGCTAGAGAGGCATAATATAGCCAGAAGGTGGACAGAATCTGGCCCATACATTTTTAGTTCAAAATGATAACCAGGATTAAAAATACAAAGAGTGACCAGAGATATCTATTGCAGAAACATTTCTTCCAACTATTGCTACTGTTCTAATTATGTCAAAGGTTTCTATAATCCTAAACTATTTGTTTGCACTACTTCAAATAAACAACAATCATAGCTCTATACAGGGCCGGCTCCAGGGTTTTGGCTGCCCCAAGCAGCCAAACAAACAAACAAAAGCCGCGATCGCGATTTGCGGTGGCAATTCGGCATCCGCTGAATTGCTGCCGAACAGCTGGACGTGCCACCCCTCTCCAGAGTGGCCGCCCCAAGCACCTGCTTGGTAAGCTGGTGCCTGGAGCCGGCCCTGGCTCTATATGAAGTTACATTCATTCAATGAACAGATTTCTTTGTGGTTTCATTGTCGTGTAGATCAAGGAGGACTTTTCTTGCCCCTCTGATCCAGAATTAAGTTATGGAATCTCCATCATTGGAGAGTTTTAAGAATTGGTTAGACAGACACCTGTCAGGAATGGTCTAGTTATTACTTAGTCCTGCCTTGAGTGCAGGGGACTGGACTAGATGGTCCCTTCCAGTCCTTCACTTCTTTGATTCTATGCCATTGGGGCCTCCCAAGGCGTGAGAAAGTTGAATATGAAAAAAGAGACTGGAACATGAACAGGCACAGGATCACTATATTGGAGTTGGGGCTGGGATGTCTGCCACTGTGTGGAACACACCCTGCCGCCGTGAGGGCTCATCTTCGCAGACATTAGCACCAGTTTAACTTAACGTGTGTGCACGTGGACATCCTTATTTCAGTTTAGCTTCAAACTCTTCCTAAAGGACTTAAGCTAAATCAAATCAGCCTGGTTCAGAACAGAGTAAGTGTCCACAGGCGCACACTTGCACTGGTTTAATATCACATTAAACTAAACCACTGCAAGTTGGAGTACAGATAAGCTCTGAATGAGACATTACAGCCTGTGAGAGGGAGCTGATCGGAGCATAGCACAAGTCCCAGGCTGCTGGAGTTAGAGGAGCGATGGAAGATGATGTGGGGGAGGGATAGCTCAGTGGTTTGAGCATTGGCCTACTAAACCCAGCGTTGTGAGCTCAATCCTTGAGGGGGCCACTTACGGATCTGGGGCAAAAATCAGTACTTGGTCCTGCTAGTGAAAGCAGGGGACTGGACTCTATGACCTTTCAAGGTCCCTTCCAGCTCTATGAGATAGGTATATCTCAATATATTATTATTATATACTTTAGCCACACCCCAACCTTTTATATGGTGGTTATATTTATATCCTCCAACAAAGTGAGCAGTGGTGCATTTGGTTTCTGCCCTTCCTCCACTCAGCATCACCCCATCTATCTCATTGACAGTTCTCTCTCTGCTGTCTGCTGAAAAAAAGTTCTCTCTTTTTTCACACTTCATGACCAGTGCATGGTCAAACTAGAGAACGAGGACTCTGGTAATACATTAACAAAACAAGAATGATCTTTGAGAGAAGATTGTCATTTTTAATCATTTTGGAGTGTAAAGGCACAGAGTTGACACTGTTTGTTGTTAATGGAGCCCAATTAAATTTCCCTTTGCTATTAAGAACATTCTTGAAAGTTCATCTCTCAACTAGAATTTTTTTTTTCCAAGCTGTAGTTTCCAGAAAAGTGTTTGTTAAAGAAAAAAAGCTGCCAGAGCTCTTGAATTGGTACAATATTTATGTTGAATCTACATACAAATACTTTCTTTCACATTACTCCTGGGGGAATTCTGCACCACTGTGCATGTGCAGAATTCATGTCCCCCACAGATTTCTTTGCTTTCCCTGCAGAAAAATGATTTTCTGACAGGGAAGCTGCAGGAGCAGTCACACACCACTCTCTAGCTGCGCAGGTACTTCGTTTCAGGAACCCGGAACAGCCAAAGGAGAGGTAAATAACCACAGGGCTGGGGACACCCCAGCCAGTGGCTCCTATGCTTAGCCGGAATCAGCTGCTAGTCCCGGGTGCACTGGAAGCAGAAGAGGATGGGACTTCCTCTTCCCCTGCAAGGAATGGCTGGCGCTGTGTCAGACCCACCCCCAGAAACCTCTCCCAGCTGCAGGAAGCTCAGCATCCTGCCCCGCTTCCTGCTCCCATCGCTCCTCAGCTGCGGGGGAGAGGTCACTGTAAGGGGAGCTGCCCCCCATCTGCCCAACTCCTGTGCATCTGGACCTCCCATACCCAGACACCCCCATCAAGCCTCACCCCATATACCCAGAACCACCCTAGCCCTCCATAACCAAACCCCACTGAAGCTCAACCTCTGCATCTGGAACTCCCTGCCTCCAGACCCCCACCGCTGCCCCCAGACCACCCCCCACTGAGCTCCCTGTACTCAAATCTCCACCCTGACAAACCCAACCCCCTGCACCACCCTGACCCCCACATCCAGACCCCCATGCCACAGACCCCCCAATTAGTTGCACCCAGACCCCCACCCCAACTCCCCCAGCACCCAGACCCCTCTGCTGAGCACCAACCACCTTCACCTAGAGGCTCCTGCAGAGTCCCATTGCCCTGCACCTGGAACCCCCCCCACAAGCCTCTGTGCATCCAGATCCCCCCACATCGAGCTGCCTGCAGCTAGAATGTCCCACACAGAATCCTCTCCCCCCACACCTGGATCCCTTCACACTTGGATCCTGCCTGGATGAGCCTGCCTGCCCCACACCTGGTAACCCTGGCACAGAAGGGCAGGGCCCCAGCATGTTTCTGGGCCAGGCCTACGCCTTGTGCTGTGTCAGGGTCAGGTGCAGCCTCACCACTGAGTTAGTGTCCCCAGGGTGGGGGGATGGGGAGGCTGCAGGGTGATGTCCCACCTTCGCGCAGCCAGTGAGTGGCCTATGCTCCCCACTGCCATGCTGGAGCCTCTGCATTTATTTATTGACAAATAAAACTTGCAGAATTTTAAAATATTGTGCACAGAATTTTTAATTTTTTGGCACAGAATGCCCTCAGGAGTATCACATGCAGGTCCTCCAATTTTGAGTAACATCTTGCCATTGCAAAAGAAAAATAAAATATTCAGTGACACCTCCAATAAGTAAGGGGGGGCTACCACAATGGCATTACAAGACTTCGTCATCATCTGGCACAATTTAACTGAACCTCAAATAACTGAGTGAATTAATGTCTGGACTTTCACATGTGTTTAAAATTCATTTTTGAGGAAGTACACCTTCTCCAAGTTAGAGTATTACAATTTTTATATGAGTTACTTTCCTGCTCTTAATTTTCTTGAAAGAGAGATCACCATGTGGCACGTTTAAACAGCTTTTAGCACAACTTCATAAATACGTAATCACTTGCCTGTTTTCAAGGCTTTTATATATATGAATATGAAAAGGTTGCTTAAACCTACTCTGCAAGTTAATTAAAAGATTAACTAGATTTGTTTAAGCCTACATTTTGGGGGAAGTATTTGTGCATATCTTCTAACATTTTATTTGATAATAATAGTACATAAACATCTCCAAAGCCATTTTCCTACACTGAGTATGTCATGACGTCATATTGGAGGAAGGAGGGGGGAGAAGAACAGCGGAAATGCCAAGATGCAACCTACCATGTCAGGAAATATAATCCAAAGGAAGGAAATCAAACCAAACCACACAGTGAACATGCTGAAATGTTTTAATAACCTATTTTTCCTCAGACAAAAGAAATATAAAATCTTGTATGAGACCAAAAAAACAATGTCTGAGCCCACACTGATACATACAGATAGATAGATGCACATCTGTGTCGTAACCCATCCTTTATCTTTCATGTGCTCTGGGAAGTGGTCCCACATCTTTAGTATGAAGGTGTGAAAACTTCTGATGGGTGATTGTGTTGATGAAGTGATCCCTATGCACAGCATCAGGAGTGTATGATAGGCTCTGCAGCTTTGGCACAAGAAAATAAATTCCTGGATAGAATCAGAGAACTTTTCTTGGCACTGAAGATGAAGCTGTGTGCATGGAGAAGATTCAGTGTCTGAGACATGGCCCTGTGTGCTGCTGACTGCAATGGAGCTCTGATCAGGATGTCATCTAGGAAAGGATACAGGTGAGTTCTGTGAAACCTAAGTCTGGCTATCATCACCACCAAACTCTTTGTAAATAAACCTGAGGGCTGTGTGGGGCCAAACAAGAATGTCCAGTACTGATAATGTTTCCTGCTCCAGGCAAGCCTCAGAAATCTGTGATTGCACAGTCTGATGGGGATATGTGTCTGCTAGATCTACTGAAATGAAGAAGTCCTCCTGAGACAGGGATGTCTCAGTAGAAGTCAAGGTCTCCATTCAAAATTTAATTTTCTTCATCTATTTATTGAGCCTTTTGAGGTTGAGAATACCTCCCAATATCCCTCATGCACTTCTGTACAATGAAGATGATGGAGTAGAACCTGGAGAAACTTTCTTCTGAGGGAACACTCGCTATCTCTCCCATATCTGGAAGATGAGATATTTTGTTCTGGATCAGACTGTGTTTTAGGGGTTGTTGGAAATAGGTGACTGGATAACGAATGAATGAGGGGATGACTCAGCTTGAAGGAATATCCCTGGCTCACTATTTCCCTAACTCACTTGCCTGTGGTCAATGAAAACCATTTCTCTAGGAAATGGGACATCCTGCCTTGCTTCAGCATTAGGCAGAAGCCTATGTGACCTTTGTCATAAAGTGGATTAGGGTCGCAGATCCTTCTGGACTTTCCCTTTGGCTCTCGATTCTACTGTTTTTCCTTGGGGAATCTGTTGACCCTTTTCTGGTACTTATGGAGGAAGAGGAGCGAAAAGAGAGCCTCTCTCTGAAGCACTGTCTATATTCTATTCTGAGGGTCCTTAGTGGGGAAGGGAGACACTGTTTGGATTTTGCTGCATTGTCAGCCAACACCTTATCCAGCTTTTCGCCAAAAAGGAGGAAGCCTGTAAACCTGGCCAACCACCAGACTTACTTAGAATGAGTATCTACCTTCCAGGGACACAGCCATTGGTGATACCTGGCTACTGAAGTGAAAGCCATGTCTTGGTCTAAGAACCTCACTGCACCTATTGAGGCATCAACTACAAATGCTGTTACTAAGGAGACTTTCTTTAAAGTGGAACCAAAGTCAGGATGATCTCTCTCATTAAGGGCTTTGAGATCTTCCAACCAGGAAATAGATGCTCCTGCAAAGCAGGTAATTGCCAGGGAGCCCCAACCACCTACACACACAGCCCCCGCTGAGCTCCAACCACTTTCACTTAGTCCCCCGTGCAGACTCCCATTGCCCCTGCACCTGGAACCTCCCTGTGCATCCAGATCCCCCACTGAGCTGCCCGCACCCAGTCTGCCCCACACAAAACCCTCTTACCCCCATTGGGATCCCCCTACACTAAGTCCCTCTGCACTTGGATCCTGCTGCCAGGCTGAGCCTCCCTGCTCACATCTGGTGTGCCTGGCACAAAAGGGGCAGGGCCCCAGGGCGTCTCTGTGGCAGGCCTGGCCCTTGTCCTGTGTCAGGGTCAGGTTCAGTCTCACTGCCAAGTCCCTGTCCCAGGGGGGCGGGGGAGGCTGCAGGGTATTCTCCCACCTCAGTGGCCTGTACTCCCCACTGCCATGGTGGAGCTTCCACATTTATTTATTGTAAATAAATAAATAAATTGCAGAATTTTAAAATATTATGCACAGATTTTGATGCAGAATTCCCTAAGGAATATGGGGCGCTGTACAGATGTGATGGTGGGACTATGAAGGGGGTGCTGGACAGTAGGGGGATCTGTGGGTGGGGGAGCTGGGCAGGGGGTATGGTGTGCAGGGTGCTGTGCAGTTGTGGTGGGAGGTCAGCGGGAGGGGTCTCTGGGTAGGGGGTGCTGGGCATAGCAGGTCCAGGGCATAGGGATCTGTGGGGGGGGTGTGGGGGGAGGGGGGGCTGGACAAAGCAGGTCCGGGGGCATAGGGAACTGTGGGGGAAGTCTCGGTGAGGGGGTGCTTGGCATGGGGGCAGTGTGGAAGGGGCACGCTGGCAGTGCAGGACTGGGTGGACCAGTGTGAGTCTAGCAGTTTTGGATTTGTAAACAGTGCCCTTGTGCTGGGCTGAGTGGAGCCACTCTCCCTGCACTGCGCCTCATTGCCCCCAAGCAGCCCCACGCTCTGCGGACCCCATCACATGCCCTATTTCCCCAATGGGGGCCCACAAATATGTTTGGCGCTGGGCCCACAAAAAGTTAATCTGGCCCTGCCACTGTCTGCTGCTGTGGAGGCAGAGAAACTGCAGCAAGTAGGAGCAAACTGGGTGTGGCCAGCCTGCGCGACACCAAACTGTGTATGGCCAGACTGTTCCACCTCCATGAGCTGCAGAGAGAGGAGAGCAATCCACAGGTTCAGAATTGTGGGAAACACTGGGCTGCAGAAAAATATTTCAACCAAATATTTTAATTATTCAGGTTTTGATTGCAAGTGTTCCACTGTGTTGAATTAGAAAAGAAAATTGTATGCAGTCTCCTACACTGAGTTTCCTGATGTCAGTGTCACAAATGACCTCTCATTTGGGCAAGATAGACAACACCAGCACTTTGTTTATAGTGAGAAATACTTCTTACCATTTAAATAACTAGACAAAGAAAAATGGAAACAATTAGTTTTCATTTAAACTTGAGGTGGCAACTAGCAAGAGCTACACAAATAAGTATATGTTGGCTATACATATATTGTACAATCTAAACTTTAGCATTTCATTTTTCTTTTAAATACTTTATTCACAGAAGAAAGGTATACCTGATTGTTCTTTACTTGTCACACCCACACAGAACTGCCACTGAGCTGTACCATTTCCCCAAAAGACATTTGAAATATAAAGTTAACCACAACTAGCATCATGGAAGGCTAAATTAATTATGACTTCAATTAAAGTGAAAATTTCCCTCTAGGTCACAGCTGACCAACCTCTTTATACTTGCCATTTGGCACCAATGGCTTTTCAAGAATAGCTGAAAAGGGTAGAGAAGCTAACCAAGGAGAATGGAAAGGTTATTTATGATGAAATAGAACTTTACTACATGAAAAATTCCAGGTCCCTTTATTATTATGAGAAATTACTGCCCAAAGTCAGACATTTACACTTAGAATTTCTAATGGGCAATAACTCTTAATAATATAGGTAATTTTTGCACATGTTTATAATAATAATAATAATAATAATAATAATAATATGTAATATAAGGAATTAACAAGGCCTAGTCCAAAGGATTTTGTAAATTTAACAATGTAGATATTAATAAGCACTCAGCAACAAGTCCACTTAGCACTACAGAAACCTGCAATCACAAAACCAGTCATGCAAAATCCTACAGGATCTCATACCATCCTGCATTTTTAAGCTGATATATGAGTATATATATTTTCATGTCTACGTACAGACATATAATCACTGAAATAATATTGTGTATTATGGAAAGAGTTTGAGCTAGCTATCAGAGCCAAGGAGAAAAAACACACTTACCAATCCTGGCACACTTCCAGAATATCCCCAATAATCTGTATAGATATATAAAAAGTTGTTAAAGTTCCACATTTAATATGATAATTTAAAAATAATTTAAATGACCTTCGATGCATGATTTACTATTCAAGTTTTTTCTCCATACTGAAACAGTGTATTAGAGCACTAACTTTTCACCTCTGAAGACTTGATCAAATTAAACATTTGAACTCATCCTTTTCTTGCCCTCCCAAAACACCAACACAAATGGCAGTCTCTGCCAACAAAGTGCCAGGGCAGAAATAGTGCTCTGCCAACCTGTTAGGGGAAACTTACACAGTATTTGCTCACATGCCCATCTCCTAATGGTTTTTTGATATCTAAATTTTTTCACTGTTTATATTCTTTACTCTGCATTCCTCTCAGTTTAGGCAATAAAAGTAGAGAAAGTATCTTTCTGAGGTGCATATGTAACAACGCACAACTTTTGTGTTGCAAACACAAGAGAAGAAAGTTTACATTTAAACAAATCTGTTTTCATTGAAAATTAATTGAAAATGGAAGCATTACTATTGGTGTTATGTTTTCCAAAAACTTATTTGAAAAATCTAGATATGGGGCCAAATTTTACCTTGACAGAGTTCCTTTAAGTTAAGCCTTTTTCAGGCTTTTCCTTCTTTACTAAACTGTGATTTAACAGTATGTCCAGATGCATGTTCAGAAGAGTGGCAGAGTATAGGTGACACACAATTTAAAAGCTTTGGCACCCCAAGAAAGATAGATATCACTTGAAACTGATGAGTTGAGAGGAAGAATGTACTGTACTCAGTTGAAATGACAGAGTTATTTGTTACTAAAGAGTTTGCAGATGAAAACAAATTGCTTCATTTTTAGAGGCTTAAAACTCCTCAAGTGGGTGATAAATGGAATTTTTTCCATCCCATCATCCCAAATGGTATCAGAAAGACCACTGTACAGGAAGGATATAGCACATGGGAGTACTCAAGATACTTCCAAGTAAGAAAAGGTTTTTAAAAGTTTGTTTTGCTGCATTAGCTAGGTACAGTTCAATACTATTTTGGCAAAGAGAAAATCTAGCAGCAAATATGAGGGGCCTCTTAAAGACTATGGGGGTATATTATATCACTTTGCTCTATCATCTCCCATCCATCAAAGATGAGATTGTATTTAAAGTAACAGTGACTCAACAGATCCAAATTTTCTTTCTTAGTACAGAAATGTAGCTAATAAATATTACTGCTGATCATTTCTCAAGAGCAGTGAACAGGAAATAGTAATACTTTGCTGGTCCTAATTTAGAGCAGGCATAATGAGGTACATACTTTTCTGTGGTAAGATGAAATATCACTAGAATTCATTTTATCCAGTATGTCTAGACATGCCCAACTAAGCATGGAATATTCTAGCACAAAGGTACAGGGGCTTTACAGTATATGAGTTCTTTGTAAATATCTAACTTTCAGGAAACTAAGTGTTGGCCTGGAAGCAATGAAATTTCATTTTCTGGTACAAAGTATTCAATATAACAAAAATAAAATGGCACTTCCAACATCTATGTAAATACAAACCTATAGATGAAACGCTTAAGTCATCCACTGTGACAGCACCCTTTGAAAACATTTCTGGTGCATAAAGACAGTTCTATTGTACTTGAGAGAGATTTGCTTCAAGAGTAAACATAGTAGCTCCAGATTAAAGGAAGTATTACATGCCAAAAACAGCACTAGAATTTTAATCAGTAAAATAAATGTTCTAACTTCTTACTGTGTACACCTCATTGACTATTATCTTATCCTCCACTAGCAGAAACTCAGATAAAAAATAAAATCTTTTCATAAATCTTCATGTCTTTCCTTCTTTATTAATGTCAAGAAAAATCCCTCATGACAATGGTAACGGTATGGTTTTCTTGTGTAAGGACAGATAAATGTTTTCATATTAGTTTTCCAAATGGAAAAGGCTGGTGTATCTTCTTATATAGACATTCAAGTACAAGTTAAAAGAAAACCCCAGTGTGATAAGAGCTATTCTACCCGCAACACAGAGTAAATCATTTTTAAGGATTTTACAAATACAATCCTCTTAGTAAAGAATTATTAAAAATTGGTCTGTTCTGAAAAGTACATGTAGAAACAGCAGGATAATATATAGTTATTGTTCTTAATGGCTTCCAGATCAAATTGGCTGTATTTTCAAGCAAAAAGATAGTATTTTAAATGACAGGCCTGCAAACTCAACATGGGATCTAAATATCAAACTCTATTCTTCCTGGCTCAAACATCATTGATAAATGGGTTGCATATGTGTGAATGAGGGCAGAATTTAGTCCAGCAATTGGTACCTCATTTACCATTCTGTTGAGAAGCAACCAGAACAGAATCCAGCTCAGTGTCCCACAACAGTTGGTCCAGCAATATTAACAGAAATAAGTAATAAATACTAATATAAATACTGATATGACTTGGAGTACACAGATGGAGAAAATTTGTTAAATAGGTTAGTGCCCTTTTCAAACTGTCATTTTCCAGAATAGAACCAGACTTTAAGACTCAAAGTGGATAATACCATGTTGGCAGTCTAATGAGGCAAAAGAGGACAACAATAGCAAAACCAATTAAAACAACGAGAATCCAATTGTATGTTTGGAAAGTAGAAAATTTCCAGAGTTGTTCTAAGCAACGTTCCCTCTAATTTATTCCATCCATGTGCGGAATGAATTTGTTATGTGCACCAATATTGAGATAACGTGCGGATGTGCGCCACCAGTAGAAACAAAAAACCTAGATATAATATATATATTTTTAAAAGTTACCATAGGGATAATTACTCCAGCCAGGTCAGGTTAGGCATTTTAGAACTCACTACTCAAAGAATTAAATTTTAGCATAAGAGAGAAATAAAATTATGAAATGCAGACCAGTCAAAAAACTAAAATAACAGCACTTTGCAAGAATAAAACTACAGAGAATATGTGTGTATTGCAGGAAGTACCAAGAAGTAACAGCAACACCACCACAAGTTTGTGTTGGAAGGTATGTGTGAGAGATAGAGAGTGTGTGTGTGTGTGTGTGTGTGTGTGTGTGAGAGAGAGAGAGAGAGAGACAGAGTGTGTGTGTATCTTAGACTGTGTGTGTGTGTGTATATATATGTATGTGAGACTGTGTGTGTGTGTGAGAGCGAGACACAGAGAGTATGTGTGTGAGTGTGAGACAGTATGTATGCACGTGCATGCAAGACAGACTGCATGCGCGTGTGTGTGAGAGACAGAGAGAGAAACGGTGTGTGTGTGTGTGTGTGTGTGTGTGTGTGTGTGTGAGTGAGTGTGTGTGCGCTAGCTGCTGGAGAAGTGCATGAAAGACCATGCACTGTCTCTTTAAGCACAGGCGCACTCACCAGTCTGAAGGCTCATTCAGATTGCAGTGGCTGCAAGCAGCTCTGTCTAACTCCCAAGCCCTGTCCCCCCACCCCTGCTCTGCGGAGATGGGGTACATGGGTGGGGGAGGGGGACACCCTGATGTCAGCACCCTTCCCCCCCAGCTCTGCACAGCAACAGGAGGGTCCCGGGAGCAGCTGGCCAAGGGCTCCAAGGCAGAGGGCAGGAGCAGCGTGGCAGCACAGCAGTGTGGGGAAGGGCACCTGAACACAAGTCACCGGATGTACGCGGCTCTACTAATCAAGTGCGTGGCATTTGACTGACTCTTGTACGGCCATGCAGGTGCGCAGCTTAGAGGCAACACTGGTTCTAAGGCAAGTTCCTTTAATATCTTTGAAAGATATTAAAACAGCATGATGAGAGACTACTCACTTCTATGGAGATAATGAGGCTCTGTTGGATAAAATATTTTGAAAATTCATTTTAATCTGAATTCCTAGTTAAATGTTTAACTATCTGTGGTACTATTTTCCTTCATACTTGTACCCTCAAAGACTTAATTTAATAGAACTATAACAAAAAAGGTTCCCCCTCTTTCTTTCCATCCCCACTTTAAAAACCACACAAACATAGTACATGCACATCTGTGAGAATAAATGGAAGTAGGAAAATTGGTAGATGACCAAATAAGTCTTTTTCTATAGCTAAGTTGTTAGAGTTTAAGTTAATAAGCACCTGTTCAGGCAGAAAGTTAAAAATCTACAGAATAGCTCTACAGGCAAGATTTGCTAGGGTTTGTTATATTTATAGGTGTGTAAAAAAAAAAAATCTCGACTATAAAATTCCATGGTCACTTGCAAATGCCATTTTATCCTCTTCATTTTATGAGATGCCCATTTATGACAGCAGCATTTTTAATTTTAAGATGAGAAAAATCTTCTGTAAGGATGAACAAACTACAACACTGTTGACTTACATTCTGAAGTATGTAAAGATGATGTAAAATGCCTAGTAACAAAATTTCAATCTATTTTAAACATCTTGTGTGAAAACACAAATGATATACACAGTTCATTACAAAGTGAGCAGACAATCTATATTTTTTTTAAAAGCAACTAGACTTATTAACATACCCAGTTTTATTTTTGTCCAGTAAGCTGGGAGCCAAGGATCTGATATAAGCACAGGTACATATGAGCAGCAAGATTACTGTCAGTAGGCTCTGAAAGTTGAAGATCGCAGACTAAAAAAGAAAGTTTAAAAAAAAATTACACTTTTGCATTACAAGCCATTTCAAAGTCTCCCACTGCCCCTTCTAAACACACACACCAGAGAGCAAGTAGACAATACTCATTTAAAAATGGGTGCTCTTCTAAACAAGGCTGGTTCACTGGGATTGTATCAGCCATATGCAATGTACAATGCCTAAGTGATCTCAAGATTTTTAGTTTCTAACTCAGCATTTATTCACACTCATTTGGTATGGAAGGTGGAAGGGTGTACCTTACTTCTTTGCTCCAACACCTGTTCCCAAGCGGATTCAGAGAAACCCCTAAATTGCATCCTCAGATTTAAAGAATATAGATACTGTCCTCTCTCAACCAAAAAGTAAATTAAACTGTGATTTGCATGAGTAGGTGATGAAAGAGGGAAAAAGACTGACAATTAAAGCAGCGATAGCCCCAGAATAAAAGGCACAAATTATGTGGAGAGGTGTCAAAAAAAGGGATTTGCCACGAAGAAAAACAGAACCATTCAGCCATTAAAATTTTCATATATTATTTTAGCAAGATCAGCAGTCTACATACAAAAGATCTTCTGCAGAATAGATACAATTAATTTACATTAATCCAATCATTTAAAAAAAAACTTAAATAAACCAAAAACATTACTCAGTTGTCTTTTAAAGCCGTATCAGAGTTAAACAGTTACCATTTTCAAATGATCTTTTTCTCTCAAACTCAAAGGTGGCGTTCATATAAATAACATTTCTCAAGGTATTAGTTGTATAGTAAATATTGCACAAATAAGGCACAGTATTTTAATTAAGATACTGGGATGTAAAAATCTAACACTTGGTCAGGATTTTAATTAACTGCCTAAAGGGCATAAGAACCTGGAATGATTCTTGAGAATCTGTTCTTGTTTCTGGGACATATTTATTTAAAAAACATTTACTATAGGTTAAAAAAATAAACAATGAAATATAAAATTACTAAGTTTATTAGTCTGACTTACATCGATAAAACACAGCAAATTCATCTTATGCACTTAATTTTTCAGTATGTTGTCTGGACATTGTGTTATCTATTCACAAACCAGAGACTGTGATTACCATTGCTGGCATGAGAAATATAGCATCCTTTATGAAACTGCAGATGCTATGGAAGAAAGCGAACCTTCACTTATGATTTTCTATATTTCCATAAGCAAGTACTTTATCTATACTGATGCTAATTTGCTCCAAGTGCCAAGCCACTATGTTTCAATTAATAAAACACTAGCAACCTCTGTGGTGCATTTTTCTTTGTAGTGGGCTCACAGGAAGTTACATTTTCTAAAAAGACATTTGTCAGCCTCTTGCTTGTGACTCATGGTGTCATAGATTCCAATTATTTAACTTCTTTTTACAATGTGCAAATGTTTCAGCTACCTGAGACTGTAGTTTTATGGCTTCTTACTTAATATTGCTCAGCTAGTATTTGGATTAACTCAACAGTATATGCTGTTACACTGAAGATAATTGTGGGAAGTATATTAGACAACTGCTTATTGCTAACTGCTTTATTTTCTCTATGCTCTAAGTTCTTACTTATTCTCAACTCCAGAAAGGACAAAACAAGTAGAGAATTAAGTTTTTCCCTCCTTCTGGGGTTTTAGGTTCCTGAAAGATTGCTGTCTGAATACCTGTTTTTTCCTCCTGTTGGACCCAGGAGGCTTCATTATAAAAGACTAGTTAATACTGTATCTGTACACCAGTTTCAATTATTTTGGCAATTTATTTCAAAATACCTGTTCGCAAGTATGTCTGTAACAGTACAGACAACAGAAATGTTTTTTGACAAATAGCTTCCTTACAAGGCATATTAATACAGAACTTTGAGTAATAATTCATTTCAACTACAATACAGAAATGTATTTCCTGCACCACTGGGAAGCAGTGCAAAGGCTTGAGGGAGTCAGGGGTAAAGGAGGAGTTGAGGGAGAGGGAAGTAACTGATGGGCGGAGCCTGGGAGTGAACCTGGAGGGTTGTTGGGTATGGGTTGGAGGAGTATGGAACAGGGGGTTTTTTTTGGCAGTGGAAGGATTGTTAGGGAGTTGGGGAGTCTCCTCATGCAGACCCTGGCTGACCCCAGCCTCTCCCATCCAGTCGGGCACATCTGCCCCGTCCCTATGTGTCCTTGCACCCTTTCCCCCATCCCCATGTTTTCCTGCACCCCCACACCCATTCAGCCCTTGGTTCAATCCTCCACTAGCTCCTGTGCCCCCAACCCAGTCTGTCCCCCCCACTAGCCCTTCTGAACCCGTCTATGGGACCCCCATCAGCCACATGTACCCCATTCTGTCCATCCCTCCCTCCTCATATCCCGTTCCTCCTCACCTGGTCCTGCAGGCAGGGCACTGTGAGGAAGGCAGCCTCTTCCCCTCCCTCTCCCTGGCTGGCTGTTCCAGCCCTGAACTGGCTGCCCTCTCTTCTGGTGCCACATCAGCCCCTGGTGGGCAAAAGTTGTAATTGCAGTGCTTCCCCAGCAGAATGTATTATCTGCAGGAGGGGGAGCAGGAGGGAAATCTGCAGGGGACATGAATTCTGTGTATGCGCAGAATTCCCCCAGGAGTATACAAAGACATACATGTTTTACTGCTGCTCAATTCTCATCTCCGCCAGGCTAAGGGAGAAAGAGATCAGGAATCAAACCCTTCTGAACTAAGTGGAATGAAAAAATGTTCATATTGTACAATTACAACGAGGAGTCTGGTGGCACCTTAAAGACTAACAGATTTATTTGGGCATAATCTCCTCGTTGTTTTTGTGGATTCAGACTAACACAGCTACCCATCTGATATTGTAAAATATTGACTTAGCTAGAGAGCAAGGCAGGGGTGTTTTATTGTTACAAATGAAATGATTCAAAAAGAAGTCAATAACCTTTTATGATAATTTATTGAGGTTTTAGGTATCATCAGTAGATACCTAAATAGGCATTTGACAGTATCTATAAAATTTGTACAAATGACAAGAGGAAAAACTGTACCGCAGACAAGGATGAAACATGAATTAGAAGTTCAGAATGAAAACTATGTGGAGAGAAACATTTAAAAAATGTAGAGTAGAAGAAATCTTGTCCGACGATTTTTTTTTAAATTAAATTCTGAAATTTTACATTTTTGCCATTCATCATTTCCCCCAACCATGATAAACATTTAGTCCTTGCTACAGACTGTATTATTATTAAAGCTACCACAAATGAACACTAAGGCTAATCCTGATCCTGCAAGAGTAGAAGGACCTGGATTCAGCAGAAAGCAAAAATCTGAAAGCCAAGCCACAGAGCTGTGAGATTACCTGTGATTCTCCACAGAATAGCTTTTTAGGTCAAGCTAGGTGCATCCTCAGGTACGTACTAATCATTCACATGTTTAGGGGAGAGATACCAGGACTGGGGTAGATTGGAAAGGGGCTATTCCAGCAGGGTGGCTCAGTTGATGCTCTACAGTTTGGAAGGAGGATTCCTTCCTGCAGCCCCTGCGGAATCCCTATGCATCAAGCCCAGGTATTCAGATTTGGTTCATTGCCCACAATTTATCCTAGTTTACATTTATATTGCTCATAACATTTTAATTGCCAATAATCAATGAAGAGGTGCAGTAGCTCATATTGAGGCCTCAGCTGTGGAACTTTTAAATTGTTCCCCATGTTAATAGCTTAAGGCACTAATATGATTAACTACTACAAAAATTCCATTTTAAAAAAGGCTTTGAGTTATAAATACATACGTGGCTTAAAATGACAAATACCTACATTTTTAAAACATTACTGTACAATTTAAAAGTCATAACTCTTCTTAAAAACTGGAAATGAAAATTCATCCCTGGACTGAGGTGAAGTTTCTGGTTTCAGCTCTGAAGGAATTTTTATGGCTAAGACAAAATAATAGAAAAGGGAATTTTAAATCCAAGTGCTGACACTGGTATAATTAAAAGCTACTATAACAAAACTCATTACTTGGGATTCCTTTTGCAAATAGCTTAACTATATATTTTTTATATTGCACTTATTATATATATTATTAAATCTAATTGGCGGAATTGGGGTCACGTGACCTAAAATACTGCCCTACCTTTAAAACTTCACATGCTAGTAACTGGCTTATATAGGGTCACATGAGCCTGTGTCCTATTATAAAGAAAGCTCAGAAGGGAAGAACTGGTGCTGTAACATTACTCCTAGGCCTGGACTACAATGCAGGATGGAGGGCACACTCTTAACTGATGGCGAGCCATGGATATAGTTGCATTGGTAGACAAGGAATTTGCTCTGATAGAGCTTATTCTGATTTTAAACAAGGAAAAGCTCAACTTGTGCACATTGTGGCTTTCCTGGTCTGTGCTTCGGTTTTGTACATCTGTGGCTGGTAAGCATTTACAGGAATCGGAGCAAATTCACAATACAGAGAGGGTCCCAGTATCTATATTCCCATGTTCTATGCTAAATTATTCCTCTCTCCTTCTGATTGTCTCTAAACATTTGTGGACTGTTATCACATCATCTAGGGCAATGAGGCTGTTAATGCTTTGGGTGAAATTTGCAAGAGCAAGGCTTTTTCCAGTGGCTGGACAACAGCTGTAGAATGCTTTCCTTGGAAATCAAAATGACCAAATATCCTAACCTTTTATGAGCCACATGCAAGACGGCTGTTTTTGGAGTAATTTTCCCAAAACAACAGCCTGAAAAATGGCCTAGCATTACTTCCCTGAACATATCAAATAATACAATAATAGTTAAGAAATCCATAGCATACCCCACAAGGAAAACATACAGAAAGAAAATCTTTAAAACTGATTGTCTGCTTTAGGCAAATCTGTTTGCACTCAGGTGCCACAGTACTGAGTGAGACATTAGAGATACCCAGATGAATATATACAATAGTTAAGATAAAATACATTGTAATTTAAATGTTCAAATATATTCATATCAGAGTCCTTATCTAAACACCATGGCAGCCAGCCCTGAGGACACTGGGGCACACCAAAGCCCCAAGACAGAACAAGGGATCCTGATGCACATAAGAGTCTCCACAACACTAGCTGCCTCAGCTAAACTAGAAAAAGCTCCCATTGTGTGGGAACGGCGGCCACTGGGAGCTGTGGGCGGCCGTGCAAATGTAAACAAACGGTCTGGTGGCCTGCCAGCGGATTACCCTGAAAGGCTGCAGGTTGCCCACCACTGCACTAAGGGAAGGTGTACATCAAGTTAGGGAAGATAGTGTTATCTTCTGGGTGCCCGATCTACTCTAATGTGCCAATTATCGTTACCTCTGGTGAAGCTGAACCAGTTGCCTCCCAGACCTCCCCAGATACCAAAACCTCCTAATTCCCAACTTTTACAGTGTAGTTGTGCGTTATCAATACCAAATTCTGTGGCATATAAAAAACTTAAAAGGTGGAGATATTAAATTCAGATTTTTGCACTAGCAAAATAAACAACACGGGGGTACTCTGTGGATGGAATTACTCAATTTCATATTTAATTTAATGAAAATCTAATTTTTATAAATTTTTTGGAAGTTGATGGAAAATTTCCACCAGAATGCTGCAGAATCAAAGGATCTTATTGCAGAATTTAGATTCAGACCAGCTTAACATGGAACACCTTAGGCCTCAACAATAACAGACATTCTTTTGCTGTAACTTGCTGCGAATGCTTCTCCCTTGTAAACAGCACCCTAATGGGTAAAGTAACAATATTATTTCAAGAAAACGTTCAATGTCCACTCTTTGGAAGTGGGGTGAAATCTGGCCCTACTGAAGTCAATGGGAGTTATGTAATTGATTTCAGTGAGGCCGGGCTTTTACCCTATGAGTTAAGGGGTCAGTCTCACAGTTAGGTCCTCTGTCAAAGACAGGCCACTGCAGTGCCACCAAGCAAATTTCCCCAAAAATTACTATGACTTGCCAAACTACCAACAATTTGGACAGTGTGATTTTTTGGGGGAGCAGAAATTAATAAATTTGAAAAGTTGTTAATGTTCTGAATACCCTTGCTTTTGGAATATTTTACTCCCAAAGATAATTTTCCAAATTCGTTAAAAAATATAATTCATCTTTAAGTGACCATTTCTTTTTGAATGCCTAATGGAAAGCATGCTACTGCAGAACAGAAAATAGTAATGGAGAAGGGATTAATATATTTCAAGTAGGGAAGTATTCAGAGAAAAGTCCTTTTCTAAGAAATTTGGGTCAATGGGTTAACATACAAGCTTTGTATTCTGGTTACTCATGTAAATTTTATGTGGTCACTTAGGGCAGGTCTACACTACGGGGCTAACTCAACCTAAGTTACGCAACTCCAGCTATGTGAATAACGTAGCTGGAGTCGACATACCTTAAGTCGACCTATTACGATGTCTACACCGCACTGGGTCAATGGGAGAAACTCTCCCCTCGACTTAGTTTATGCTTCTCATTCTGGTGGAGTACTGTAGTCGACGGGAGAGTGATTGGCAGTCGATTTAGCGGGTCTTCACTAGACCCCGGTGGATCGATGGCCGCAGCATCGATCCACGGTAAGTGGAAACAAGCCCTTAGTAAACCGTTGTCCACACTAAAGAACTAAACTATGCTAACACCTGTGTTCAAAAGAAGTTCAAGTTTGAAAAAAGTTTTTGAACACTGTGGCAGCTGGCACGCTTTGCTGCCACATTGTGAATAAGGATTTTCTTTTAAAGTGCACAGTACATTGCTCCTCTAACAAAGCTTGTAATTGTTTCACATGGGCATAAAAGTGGACAGGACTGCTGTGCATTGGCGGAGATGTAAATGGATGGCTGACCGTAATAAATGCCTTAGTTTTCAAAGAACCTAACCAAAATGGTGGGGCGGGGGACTTTTCTCCAAAAACTGGAGGAACAACATTTTATATAGATACAATAATAAATACATAGCATGGGAAACAACTGATATGCTTACAGGCCAAGTAAGAGCAATATCTCTTTTCCACACCCTGTTTTAAAGCGTAACTATATTATTTTAAATCTATAAGACAATCTATAAAACTTGCTTTTGTTTGTAAAATACTTCCGTTTGTACTAAAAATATAGTCTCCATGAGATTCTTAAGGTCACAAATCTGAAATATTATGCTTCACTTCAATTCTTACCATCACGTTTATTCACTCACGCATCAATACTGGATATACGGCTGTACAATCTCATAGTTCTTCTTTTAGTGCCAAGAGCTAGCAGTATGTATTACACTTGCAAACAGTAAAAAAAATAAAATTCAGTAAAGAAAACCTAATACCCCACTAAGTTTTGTTAAGCAACACTTTTATTTTTCCATGTCTACATTCATCAATCTAACATATTCTGCTGCCAGACATATTAGTAAAATTTAAAGATACCTTTGGTACTACTCTGCATGGATTATATAGCAAATACAATTTATTCTAATTTTTCCATGATTTTTTTCCTCATAAAATGTGAACTATTCCCATGACTTTTTTTTTTTTTTTTTTTTTTTGAGAAGCTGGAACCAAAGATGATGCTCTTAGTAATAATGGACTAATAGTACTGGTTGGAACCAGTCATTAGGACAGGTGCTGTTCAGTCAGTGCCACATAGCTCTTCCAATGCACATAAATCTTGATCTGCAACTCCTTTGCTGTGTCTGTCCTGGGAATCTCATAAAAAGAAACTGCCAATTGTGTTGCAATATGAGCAGAAAAGTTCTCCTTGGGAAAAGAGAGATATTACTCCATGATGAGTTATCTTGTCTTCCCTTTTTCTTGCAGCTCAGTAGGGCAATCCAGGTTATTGTTATTTCTTTGTATTAAGCTGTTTATAAAGGGAGATTCTTGGATCCAGGTCTCCTCAACAACAGAGGATGGTACACTTTTGATATTTTGAGCTATACAGGTATGCAAGTTATACTGCTTCAAGTTTCTTCTCTCTACTCAAAATGTGTTACAGAAACTTCACGGATATGTGGCAGAATTAATCTGCCCTGCAGTACAACTGATGTGAAAATAGATTTATGATATTCTTACCCTAATAAAGCATCCAAAATGGTTTGAGTGAAAGGTTGACTTGTGTTTAATGGTAGAAAGTACTACAAGTTCTCAGGATGACTCTGTATGAAATAGCTAAAATTCTTAAAAAGGTAGAGATTAAAATGGCATTTACTCCTGGGGGAATTCTGTGCCAATAAATTAAAAATTCTGCACAAAAAAATTAAAAATTCTGCATACAATATTTTAAAATTCTGCAAAATTCAGCATATTTTATTTGTCAAAATAATGCAATATAATCACGCTGGTTTAAATTATTTTGGTAATTTATTTAAACTACAATACAATGGATAGAGAATGGGAGTGGGGAGCATTGGAGGAAATCCCCAACCCCCTTCCCCCACATCTAATGTAGCTAGTATTGACCCTTTACTTCTAGTTATTAGTCAACAAATGTATGTAGCCATACACTCAGTGTTACCTCATACGCAACCAAAGAACAAGTGAGGGCTGGGGACTCAAACTCACAATTTATATTGGCTACTGACCATCTCCAGAAACATCAGTAGTACACAGTTCATGGAGCACATTTATATAGGAAATTTTTTCAGTCCAAAAATTTAGACCAGTTCTAAGCACCATAAGCATTTATAAGGCCACGATGCTCTTTACAATAGGCTCCTTTACACCACGCTGGAGCCTTAAAATTTTTACACCTATTTTATACTCCTGGGGGAATTCACTATAAGAACAATAGGAATAATTCACTAAGCAGGCAGGCTACTGAGGGGACAGAGTCTGCCCGGCGCCTACCTCCTCAGAAACACCCCAAAGCCCTGCCCTTCCACGCCGAATGTGTGGCAATAGCAAGTGAGAGGGACAGAGTGTCTCTTTCTCTCACATGCACGACTGACCAGCTCCCCCTCTACTCCACCCGGTGGTGATTTACGTCTCTACCGGCTGCTCGGGGTGCCCAAACCGACCTGTCTGCACTGCCGGGGAGGGGTGCATGACCGCTCTTGTCACTTCCCTTTGCTTCCCCATTAGAAGTCATTTTTCTGCAGGGAAGCAAAGAAATCTGCAGGGGCCATGAATTCTGCGCACGCGCAGTGATGCAAAATTCCCCCAGGAGTAGACATTTCTTGGTTATACTGGATATTTACCAGCATGCTGACATAGTTGAAAATCACTGTATTAACACTAGATATTTGATAAACTGGGCTTTCAAAGAAAAGGACTATAGTGAAAATATCTTGACAAATTTACAGTTGAGAACCAGGAATAGATCAGAGATTCACTCCATAACTCAACAGCAAAGTACTCAGGTCTTTTGGCTGTCTGCATTCCCCTGGAAGATAGCCATCTATAAGATTACATAATGCAGACCCAAACACAATTATTATATTCTGCAACTAATCAGGAATTTAATAATGGTATAATGTATAATTTCTATTAACATGATTCTAAACTTTTGTAGGTGTAAAGAGAACTTCACAGGTTTTCAGTTTACAACAGTTTTTTGTATCGATAATATATGGCTGCAATGTAGAAGCTGTCAGGGAGAAGCACTGGGAAGATTTGGTGGTTTGGATATTTAGCACCTAGGAGGCAGGTGAGACATCTGGCAATGGAATAGGATGCCCCTCTTCTTTCATGCCCCTGTTGTGAACAGGGTAGAAATTTGAAATTTTTTAGTGGGTTTGAACCCCAAGATTCCCACATCAGCAACTCAAGTCAGCAGCCAAGCTGCAGCCCCCCACATCTACGTTTATTACTGCAGCTAATAACGATGATCAAGCACATTAACTGACTGCTTCTACTAAAACGTTAAATAGTGAAATAGTTAATATTGGCATTTAAAAGGCAATAATTAGTAAGACTTCAAAGTCAATAGTCATACTGAGATGGATGGGAGCAGTTCACACTTCACAGAACTACTGTTTAAAGCTATCTGCAGTTTCAGGAAGACCATAATGAATTAAGTTTACATTCAAATCATATTTGGAATGTCTTTTCCCCCACAATCACAAAAGTTAGAAACTCAATTTTTGGCTTTTACTGACATCCTAGTTTCGGGGCTGTAGAGTTTTGTGGCAAAATTTGGCAGAATTGTAGAATTTAAATGGCCCTGACCACTCTGCTCTCCCCAGTTCGCACTAAGGGTATGTCTATACTGCATATTACTTACGGCAGTGGGTAATGTACGTGCACTTCTCACCCCTGTAGCATGGGCATAAATAGCAGTGTAGACCATGAGGCACGGCTTAGGTGAGTAAAGACATGCCTGAACCCTTAATGTATGTACCGTACATGGCTCTCTACACACACAAGCAGTAGGGAAAGGCTGCAGCTGTGGGGAAAAGCTCCAGCACCTCCCCACTATGGAAGTCTTTCACCGCAGCAATGAAAGACTCTGCTCATCACACTAACATTAAACATGGCCCATTTCTTCTAGCTCTACTGGATGATCTTCACAGATGAGCGACAGGCAATAGCATAGTTCTTCACAGTCATGCCACCAGAGGTAAGCACCACAGAAGGGCCAGCTTCCTGCTTAATAGTCCTAGACCTAGGATCTGCCATAATGGAGCCTGGTTTCCCTTCAGAGCCTAGGGCTCCCTGTGATTTGCAGTTCTCATCACCTGCCTGAACTGCCCCCATTCCCTTCCCTTTGTTGTGAAGCATGCGGAAATCAAATAAAGTAAGTCCCCCAGTTTTCTGTATGCTCCTTGAAATACATAGGCCAACTTTTTCAGAGCAGTATGTTTTACTGGTCAGAACAAGATTTTTCTAGGTAGTTGCTCTATACAGAACATGCCCTTACTTGGACTTCTACTACTTTTACAGAAAAATTAATCTCAGGGTAGACCTAGATCCCAGATTTTTCTTCAGTTTTGCACTTAAAGAGCCAAATTTAACTAATTAAATGACCCTTTGATCAATGTGGCTATCTTAGTTCATTTTTTAGGACAGGAGTTTTCAATTTTTTCCCTTCTATGATCTTACATCCTCAAATCCTTCAAAGTGCCATTGGAAAAGTCATAAAGATATGAAAGTTCTACAGCTCTCCCAGGCTTCTGGTGAGAAGGGAAAACTGCAGTTATGCTCATCCTCCATAGTGTCCGTATATTTTCAGAGACCATGCAACACACCAGGCAGATAACTGCTTTGTCTGACACTTTACTCACTCTGCCTACAAGACACAGCACATCAGAAAGATCTGCCAAGAAATGCTTACACAAGCAACTACTAGTGGCTCTTTTTTGGGGTCGTGATCCACAGGCTAGAAACCCTCGTTAGGTCTTTCACCCCCTTTTTTTGAAGCAGGATACAGGTTCTGTTGAACTATAAAGCAGGGCTGTGGACAGAAAGTGATACCTTATCACTGTCGAGAACTACAGCCTGACAAAACCAAACCAAGATGAGACTAGTCAACTTGTACTTCAATAACTCAGAAGGTATCATAAGCATGACAATTTATTTTAATGAATTACATTCTTACCTAACTCACATTAACATCAAACACTTAAAACCAAGGGAAGAAGTAATTACATCATTAATCTTACACCCTTCACAAGCATCTTATCCTTATCCAGCACAGAAATGCATATTTTATCAAACTGTAACAACCTTAACTCTGACCCCAAAATAAATACTATTCCTTGACCCCTATTCTCACAATGTAAACACAAAAAAATCCTTCCGAACCAGAAGCCATAATAATACTTATTGATTAGCCTCAGGTGCAAGTCCACATATATAATCATTCTTTTCTAACTACCCACATTATTTTAAAGAAACATCAGTCACCAGTGTGTTATCAAGAATCCAATTGCCAGCTGACAAATGGGAAATGTGAGTTAAGTATATTTAGCCCTTTAAAGAAATGAAGCCAAGACAGAAATGTCGAAGACGCCAGGCCAGGGGTCAGAGTAGAGGCTGTTGGGTGATAACCAAAGAAGCTGATATACATCACGTGCTAGTTAAGGGGGCCGGTGAGAGATTTCTCCCATCCTTTCCCTGCTCCTGCCTGGGTCGCTGAATGACGTCACAAGCACGCTCTTAGCTAATTTTTGAAACCAGGCGTTGGTGACCGAACCGGGACAGGCTAGCGGGCTGTCTGAGCCCGAAATGGAGCCAGCGGGGGGCTCCGCGCGCAGACCACGGTGGGGTGAGGAGCAGCCGCGCCGCCCCGGACACGAGACTGAGCCTCCAGCTCGGCTGCTGAAGTGGGAGGGGGGCCCTGGGCAGGCGCCGCAAGCCAAGCGCGTCACTCACAGAGACCGACCGGCCGGCCGCGAGCTCGTGGGGTCGGAGCCCCTCATAGCTTGGGGGAGAGGGACAGGCAGGGAAGGGGC